AAAACTAATTTATTGAAATTAATTTAAGTGTGATTTTAACTTTAATTAGCTAATGTACGAATTCTCACACTATATATTAATTCATTATAGTTACATAAAAAGAGCAGCGCTACCTATGGTCACCTTAACAATTATTTATCGTAAAAACAAAAGCTAAGCGAACATACAATTTGTTGTTTGGGAATTTCGAATTTATGAATTGTTCTTATTATTGATAACCTTTGATTTCGTAGAAATATTTAACATTATTTTAAGACTTTCATAAAATAATTTTTTAAACATAATCTACGAAAAAAAAAAAAAATCAAAATATATTTTTTATGCAACTAAAAATGTTTTTTTATAAACACTACAAATAATCATAAAAAAATATTTATAAATGTTTGTGTTAAAAAAGAATATTGGTGAGTGTTGTACAAATATTCTCTTTTCAATAATTTATCAAATAAAAATCTTATTTAAATTTTAAACAAGTCTTCTTTTATTTTCTTGTTGATGAAGTTGTTTTTAAGAACATTGAGATTCCAACAAGACTGGAACCTTACAATATCGTAAAATAATTTAATAGAAACACATATTTTTACTTAATTTTTAATATTAACAGTACATTTCAAAACATATAAAATTAAATATTAGTTTAATCTAATATTCATTTCAGTAAAATTAACTTAAATTAATCATTTAAAAAACACTTATATCCTCCTAATATTTAAAGTGGCCTGCAGGTGCCCATACGAACAGCAGCAACATCTGAAAATATTTACAAAGAAAATCAATATAAAATTTATATTCTGTATATTTCTATATATATTCTATATATTAAATTTTAAATTCAATATATTCTATATTTGAAATAAAAAAATTACTCACTTAAGCCACAATTAATGGAACATTGCAGTCGACCAGTATTATGATAATTTAGCCCATCACTACCGCACACAGGATTATATTCCATTGTTGAAGGACATCTCTGTAAACAGGCCAGATATTGTGGAGAAGGTGTACTTGCAGCAGGTGCCGCGGTTGTGGTAGTCACGCCATTATCTCCATTAACGCCATTATCAAAATTAAATTGTGGTTGATTTGGTCTTGCCGGTGTAGGTGCAAATAGATCTCCCCAATTAATTTGTTGTGGACGTGCGTATATAGCAGAAAGGCTTAAAACTGTTAAAAATTATGAAATTATTATTTGAATTTATTGAAATCTAAGCCATTTTAACTTACAGCAAATGCAGATGCTTAAATAAAATTTCATTTTTATAATTTAATTTGTATGTCTTAAACGCTGCTCAGTCAATAAGAAACTGATTCTAAAATCAATCGAAACGTTGCTAATCAATGAAAACTAACACTGGTTTTATATGTAGACACTGCTCTAGATCTGCGCTACCTCTCACTTTTTCTCTCATTCCAATAAACAGTAAAATCCAAATTTATTGAATGCTCTTAAGTTGATTGTAAAGTTCTCAAATGCTTTCTGTTTATAGAAGCAACAGCTGAAGCTGGAATCTTAAGTGGAAATGTAAACATTGATTCTTAGTGCGTCATGGGCTTTGGAAAACCACTTCAAATTAATATTTTATGCTTTGTAATTAATTTTAAATTAAATTTCACGTTTTGATAAGGAGGAAGATGCGACTTAAGTTTTGATTGATGGCTGATTTTATTGAATTGAATAATTTGTTTGAAAATAAAACGAGTAGAAAATATCAGACAAAGCTAATAATGTACTTAAGAAGTAATAAATGCCAGAAAAAAGAAATGTAATGAAGAAGAAAAAAAATTTAAAAAGATTAAAAATGTCATATATTAAGCACTTGACTTATTGTATATTGAAATACAGTTTTATTGTATGCAGCTATAGAAAAATAAAAATTGTAATAGTGATAATGATAATGATAATGATAACTTCAGGACCACTTAAAATTTACTTAAATGCTGCAAAAATGTTCAGTCCTATGTTTACATTTAACAATTAACGCATTTTGCGATAAATTAATTAAACAGATAATTAGATAATTTTGCGAACAGTGAGACAAAACAAAAGATGAAACGCGATATTAGATAATTTTTATATAAATATATTTATGATTTAATTTAAGCTTAAAAAATAAGTCAAATAATATAATATATAATAATATATGTTTGTTTTTTTACAAATACTCGCACACGTGGTGTTCACACCGGAATGTTTCAAAGCAGCATTCTCTTAATAGTGGTCATTTACTGGTTAATTGTGCTATTTTGACAATTATATATATATAATTATAATATATTTAATTCTTATTCTATAATTAATTAATTCTAACTATAATAAGATTCAAAAAACTTTTTAACTTAAGTATGTTTCAACTTGTTTAAGAATTAAATATGTTAAAATCAATAAAATTACTTCCATTATCATTATTGAGAAATTCAGTCTGTAACGATTTACCACTGTTTGTAATGAGAAGCTTTCGGAGTGCTGTTGAGGATAGAGGGACTTCTTTAAGAATCTAGACCTCTGCTGAAGTAGCTGTTGTACTGCTAATTCTGAAACTATAAAAGTATTAATATTAACTAATTAATTACAATTTGAATAATTTTAAATGGAATCGGATTAAGAAATATACAAATATTTAGCAAAAATATACATTTATTTTGATATAAAAACATATTTGAGAAAGTGATTTATGCTTAAGATCTCAGGTATTACGATAATGGAAAAGGGGAAGAGGCTTTTAAAAGTACTTTATTTTTCTCTACATACACATAATATTATTAAAAGCTTAAAAATACATATACTAAACGTACATATACTATACTAACAAGCAATATATCCAATTATAGTTTTTACAGAATTACACTTACATGCTAACATTGTAGTAAACCATCACCTCCTACTAATATGTATATTAAATAAAATGTTACCATAAATCGTTACCCATCAACTGTGTTTATCGGTGCCGTTTAAACCAATGGTTTCCATCGAATCTGATATAAATGTCGAAATAATAACAACTACTGAATATAAATAGTGATGAAAAGGAAACGAAATAGAAAGACGAATATTAAGTAGCGAAAATTTAAAAGTTTATAATCGGTTTCATAATCATAATTACAGTGTATATGCTGACTTAAGTCATGCTTAAGTCGTTAATTTGCTTACTTAATTTAAACATAAATTAGCTTTGAGATTTAAGTTACGACTACGAAATCGATCCTTATTTGGAATTTGGACTTACGAAGTTTTGAAAATCTTTCTTAATGTCACGTTGAATGTGCTGATCAACTTTCTTAACCGTTCGTTATCAAGATGCATTTTATCAACTCTACAGATTATTTTTGACGTAGATGAAATATTGGAATTATTAGCACTTGGCCGACTTGGCCGATAAAATGGAAGGCATTTACTTAAGTGGGTGACTTGAAAAAGGCCGTTGATCCTTTGTCAATGTTGCTTCAACCTTCAGAGCTGTCTATACTCAATGTGTATGAAATCTTAATAGCCTCTGCTAGAAAGAGTAAGATCATGAGCAGCAAATACTTATATGTAATTTTGTTTTAAATATTTTTGAGTTCTTAAGTCGAAAATATTTCGACTACAAAATCGACCTTAACAAAACCGACTTTAAGCAAATATATGGTTGGATCTTCGGGGAGCATGATCATAAATAAAAATGAGAGGAAGACTTTTGAAAAGTTGCTTTAATTCAAACTGTGCGTTTACAACAAAAACATAAGACTATTCTATTCTATACATTTTAGAAACCAATATTCATGCGGAACCTTGTGCATGTGGTTGCTCTGAAGACAATCTAATATCAATCTGTGGACTCCTGTAAACCAAACAATAAATACGAAAACTCAAGTAAGTCTGAATACTTTTAGTTGCAGAAACCGAATAGTGTTTATGTTCGACAGGAATTGTAACACTACGCGCAAGTCATGACTTGAACTTGGAGAAGATCAGTGAGATACGAATGAAGAGAGGCATACTACTTTTAAATGGCATTCTTCCATATTTTTATTACAGAGTCAGTCGGTTTAAATTAATAGGAATGTCTCTTATTAACTCCGATCGTAATCATTGGGCTACAACTATTAAATTACTTACCACTCCGATGTTTCCAAGAACAACATGATATATATTTTATTCATTTTTGTGTGGAATTTGATTCCCACATATATACTGAAATTTATACGTTTTCTGGAAAGTAGCGAGGTTAATATATATTGAGAAGTTAGAACAGATTATATACCATACCAATTCGTATTATATAACATAATATGAGTTTGTATTTTTGTTTCTTTTTGATCTAGTTACATAGTTCAAATGTATTTTCGAAGATAAATGACAATCTGATTTCTTTTATATATTTTTGTTACAATAGTTATGTATAATAAAAATTTTTGTGATTTACTTACTAAAAATTGGTTGCTTGAATATAACCAATACTTGCGAAAAAAAAAAAACAAGATGCATAATAATACATGAGAACTATTGGACTGTTTGGAAAGTAATTTGTTTTTTTGAAATTTAAATTTTATTCGTTTTGTTATAATTAGCTTCACCATCCCCTCACACAGTAGCACAGTACAACGCCCATATGATTATCTGAGTTATTTATAATATCTCCATTTTAAGTAAAGATTTGATCTCATGAAAAGTTTTGTTGAGTCCGAAACAAGTGATAATCCGAAGTCGCCAATTCTGGAAAATATGGTAGGTGTGGTAATATATTCCATTCAAAATTTACAATCTTTTAAAGCTTACCAAACTTGTATAAAATCTCCCATTATCTTGGTGGAACCTTGTATATTTTATATTGAACGATTCTGGTTTGTTTAGATTTAGTAAATAATAATATTGACAAGGAGAAGAGCTAGAATACTTGAAAAAAAAAGTTTCTAAACACTAAAGAACATTTAGAAACCGATAGATGATTTCGAAAGACAGAAATCCTCTGGAAAATCAAATCACTACTAGGTGAGGCATCTTAGAACTAGAATCCTAGCCCAATGCAACGTACTCTTAGGCAGACTATGTGGAGTCTAAGGTAGTCTATGTGACGTCTAAGGTAGTCTATGTGGAGTCTAAGGTAGTCTATTTGGAGTCTAAGGTAGTCTATGTAGAGTCTAAGGTAGTCTAAGTGGCGTCTAAGGTAGTCTATGTGGAGTCTAAGGTAGTCTATGTAGAGTATAAGATAGTCTATGTGGAGTATAAGATAGTCTTTTTGGAGTCTAAAGGTAATCTATATGAAGTCTAAGGTAATCTGGCTTTCATAACCTTCCCTAACGCGACTAAGGAAATTTTTTCTGTAAGAAGATGTTGACTTATATGTCAACATTTAAAATTAAATCAAAACGTTTTATATGATCATGAACTATCGTATTCAATCTCTATGCATAGGTAAGACATTATTCGAGAGCTAGCATCAATTAATGTCTTTATAGCTGTCTGTGGTCTTTCAGAACATGATACATCTTTAATATCAAAATTTTCCGGAATGAAATTTTGCAAACCAGTTTTTGTGTTGGTGCTCTGTCAACACATTATCTTTAAAACCTCTCAACTTGAACAGTATTTTTAAGTTAAGATTTTATAAAATTTTATATATTGTCATATATTATAATATACTTAATATATCATTATATATCATATCATGTGTGTGAACCACACCTAATTATAAGTATATTGTAAAACTCTCTTTTAGTTTTTAAGACAATTATTATAATTTTAGATTTTAAGATTTTTGAGAAATAAATAAAGAGAGAGTTATAAATGGACTGCAGAAGAGTGCGTTTCGTTTCAGCTCCAACTTAACTATATACAAAAAATAATATGGAACTGGGCTGACATTTTCTATAATAAAATATATTAAAATATATAAAGAAAACTAAGTTACACCATTATTTTATAGTATTTTTAATTTTTAAAATAAATTGTAAACTAATTTCTATTCTAGATTCTTAAAAAAATGTGTGAAGATATATGGTTATATATACATAATTTTTATATATATTATATAAAACATTTTAAAAAAATATTGAAATTAAAAATTAGTTTTTACAAAATTAAATTATTGCAAAAGGGTATAAAAATTAATAGTATATTAAAAAAATATAATCACATGTTTGTAGTTTAGCTTTAAACTAATTGGTTCCGTTATCGTCCTAAAGGAGCACAAGTACCCATGCGTACAGCTGATACATCTAATAGCGAAAGATAATGTTAAAAATCAAAATTGAAATTAGATATTAAAAAAAATATAGTTCCTGTTTTTCTGTATAATGGTATTATGTAGCAAATGAGCTAGTGTATATGAATCGTGTGAAATTGTGTAAAATCAAGGCGAATAATCGAGAATCTTTATCGCTTAGTAACACAACTGATCTTATAGATCTCGATGTACCACTGTCGCTTCTAATAATTTACTCTTCAAAATTAAGCAGTCAAATTAAATTTAACTCATAAAATAGATTAAACTTGTATTTAAGATTATGTGATGATTAGCTAATATAAACTTGAATCATCAAGAGAGACCGTCGTTATCATTAAATCCACACTCTGCGCACTTTGGCACGTAGTAAGTGGTAGACTTGTTTATCTAAATGTTTAAGCAAATGAAGCCTTATGAAGAAAGCAATGTGGTTTGAAAGATTTCATAAAAGAATGTAGTTTGTTAGCTGTAGAAACGATAGGCGGTAGAAGAGAGAGAGAGAGAGTTATAGTAAGAGAGAAAGACACAATAAAGAACATAGCAAGTTTTTGTTTGTAATTTATGTTCATTACTTTGATTATTCAATCACTGTAAGTCATAATATCAAAGCAGCTTATCATTTATGTTATCTATAACAAGTTACGCTTAGTAGGTATCACAGTGAACTCTAAATAAAACCAATTTTATGAGTACATGAGAAATGTTTGTTCTAGATGTATATGTAATCGACTTATCTTGGCTTTAGCCTTATTTTATACTTTTCAAACTTACTTAATCCACAACGAGAAGCACATAAGAGTCTTGCCATATTATGGTAGTTTTGATTATCACTACCACAAACGGGATTATATTCCATAGTGGTTTGGCAATTCTGTAAACAGGAAAAATATTGTGGAGATGAAGTTGTGACCGATTGAATTGTAGTTGTAGTTATAGGCGCTGGTGTTGTGGATAATATTTGCATGGCACTCAAAGAGTTGTCTGTTGGAAAATTGAATGGACGTGAGGGTCCTGAAGGAAACTGTTGTGGAAAGTTCTGCTGCTGTTGAAAACTTGGAAAGAATTGTCTTGGTTCTCGTGCAAAACCATTCAGTTGATTTATTTCAAAACTTGGATTTGGAAAATTGAATGCATTATTTTGTCTTGGTTGGAAAAATTGTGGATATGCATAATTGTATTGTGCAACAAAACCTGCGAAGTAAAAGTAATTAAATTTAATAGATAAATAAATATAAAAAACTTTAATTGTTTTTAATCCATTTTAACGTACCAAATAAAAATAAACAAATTGATATTAATTGCATTTTGTATAAAAAATAAAATTTTACTTAGTATTCAATTTAATAACTGACTTGCTTTACAGCAAAATAACGTCTGACAGATTATTTTAAAGCAGATTTGTTTTTAGTCAGCAGTCAGCAGAATATGTAGAATTAAGTACCTCTAAACTTGTTCTCGCTCATCTTTAAATTGTCGTCGGATTCAAAATATCGGCTCCAGTTATTGGCTTTAGCGGCTACAGTTTAGCACAAAATTTATTAAGCAAAAAATTCCCTGACAGTCAGAAACTTGTTAATCTTTCGTAGTTGAACTTGATTTTTTTTTATCAGCTTAGTCATGCATAGTTGGCATCCAACAATTATACAATTTACAAACTAAACTGAATTAAACTAAACCATAGCACAGTTAAAAGTATCTCAGGTAAACATGCGTACGTGATTCGTATTTGCAGCAAAAGTGCTAATTATGAGTAAATACCCGCTTATGGGAAACTACGACACTTCGGACAATCCCCTCTCATAAAAAGTGAACCACAAGTCTTACACCGGAATTCAACTGGGAAGGTCATTACTCACTTCCTCAAAAGGCGTCTAGCTTCAAAATTCTTATATTAGCAAGCGCAGAGTTCAATGCACTTACGGTCGTGCAATGATTACAATCGCTTATATATAGATAAATGCAAATTATAATAAAAATAAATAAACTTATTAATATTATTCGGATTATGTATAGATAATATTATAATATATTGTATAGTGTTATTCATTTCATTGTCCTGATTTGGTAGTACTTTATCAATGGTAAATTCTAAACAGAACTGTCATACAAGACGTCATGATGTTCCTTGCATTATTTTAACGTTTGCCATTTTTTAATATGAATCGTTTAATAACCGCTGAACATGTTAAAATATTAGAAATATTTACAAAAATGATGATTCTGTCATATGTACATTTTATGCATTACGAGCATATTATGATCGAAATAATTGTTGATCTGAACAACATACATATATCATCCACATCGAAATACTTGATAAAAACTATTGCTGCTGTTAGTGAAAGAGTTAAAGATGATCCATCATGACGTATTTTGCATTTCCAATTAATCTTCAATCTCATAAAATTGAGCTAACACAAAAACTAATGCCACCTACATATGCAATACTGATTGGGTCTTTGAAAAATAGCATTTGGATGCCGATATTTGGCATACAATTTTTTTCAGTCATGAGTCCTAGTTTTTACTTAGCGGATATGTCAA